CAGAATATATCATATCGGTTTCTCGATTTATACCCGCGCCGTGTTTTACCAGCGGAGGATTTTTCCTAAGAGAGTTCCCCCCGAGGAGATTAATCGCTCGCGCGAGAAATTGCTTCGCCGGCGCGAGAAATTGCTCCGGCCGAATGAAATTCGCGCCGGTGTATCCCTTTCGAGGCTGGCTTTGATATCGCTTTAATCGTAAATCGGCATTCATTATCTAACGCGTAACGGGCGCAGAGATCAGGCAGCGAGTGTCGAGAAGGAGAGCATTCTTGTCCGGCGGATATGTCAACGTGCTCCGTGATGCCGGTCTCTCTGCAAGACATTTTGGTAAATATTAAATATTCTAGTCTTTTCCAATATTGCTAGGAATATTGCCGCTTGAAAGCCTCGCGAGAATTATTCCCGATAGAATTCCTCACTAACACGCCAGCTTGTAGCAAGTAACTTCGATCTTTCTGAAAATAATTAAATGGGATAAATTAAAAGTTTCGATATGGCTGTCTTTTTTTTTATTCAATGACACGTAATTATTATTTGTGACATTTCATTGGAAAATAATTCTCACGGGACATCTTTCGTTCCATTAATTAAATAAGTACATTTTTCATTTTATTACGTACATTATAAATGGAATGTACGCGGTTAAACGGTTGTTTAACGGTAAAATATTTTTCCAAGCGTACACAACAGAATTCCGTAATTTAATATTTATTTTATTAAACAATTCGCTTTTAGCTTCTTAAAAAGCTTTTCCTGGCTGAAAAATTTAGCTTTCCAACATTCTCTTTTTTCGAAATGATCAAACTTAATCCGCGAGACGCGCATTTAACAAAGCGTATAATGTATCCGAGAATACGAGTGTGTGTGTATGTGTGTGTGTGTGTGTGTGTGTGTGTGTGTGTGTGTCTGTGTGTGTGTGTGTGTATCGTTCTCATTGTCCGCCGTCCGAGGTTCCAGGTAATTGATGTTAATGTTTAATGAAATTCCGCGAAGGAAAGAAAAGTACAAGGGAGTCTCGTATTGAACTTACGAACGCGCGCGCTCGTTGCCTACCGGCCTTACGCTCAACCGGTTACACTGGTTTCGCGAGAAAAGAAGCTAAAAGGAGCGCGAGATAGCCAGGCGCTGGGTGGGAGATTCATAAAAAGTGAATATAACATTCGATAGCAGCTGCTCTTAAATTCACGAACACGCGTTACATCACGTTCAACCGGCCGCACAATATCGCAAAAATGGTTAATCGGATCTTTTTTCGCCTCGCGATCACGTGAAAGCTGCGTAACGTCGTTACTCGGTAGGCAAACCATTCGCGTGATCGTTTCGACATTTCTCCGCGATTCGAGAGGATTACTTCGATATTTCAGAGAAAATATCGCTTTTCCTGCCGTGCATTAATTAGATCTATTACTAACTCGCCTCGCAATCAAAACAGTGAATTGTTTTAAGCCTCGAGGTGATTTCTCGCTTCGCTATAATGTCGCGGCGATGCTTTATTTTAAAAGATCTATTCAAATATTGATGTTTATATAAGATGTTTATATGCGTGCGCGGAATATAAATTTATATTTTATTCCATTTTGTGCTTTGTTGCATTGTCATTTACAATTTCAGTATAGGGCACGTGCAAACGCGGGGAAATAGAAATGGCAGAGAGACACGCGTGCGATATTTCGAAATATACCGCATGAAATATACGCACATCTTCACTTTTTTCCCGATATTTCACACTTGACATTTCTCACTTAAAAAAAAAATCGTACATTTTTCGCAAAAATAAGGGTGCTCTGGCATTTCCATTCCGTGACGCGACTGTTGTATTTCCAATACATTGATCCCGACAAAAGCTCGAAAAGCTTTTCGAAATGTGTACGTTGCTACTCAAACAGAAAATATTTTTAACAATGCACCCCTCGACCTTTATTCTTGTTTCTCCCCTTGTATCGGAAACGTTCCACGGGACGCATATTCGTGCACGTGCCCGCGAAACCGCACAAGTTTCGCGGTTGAAATTATTAAATCCAATCGGCTACAAATACGGAGCAACAAGCAAGTTAATTTCATTACAGTCTGACGATCCTTTGCGTCTAATTTCGATGTTCGATAAAATACAGGGTTTAAATTAAAAAATAAAAATATCAATTACAAATTAAAAGAGTAAAAACAGGGATATTTATCATAAATTACAAAATGATTATAAATTACAATTAAAATTACAATTAGATTTTACGTCGGTGTATTCTCTTAATTATCTCTTAATTTTGTTACCTTTGCAAAGCGTATCGAGCATTCATTCGCGCTGCGCCTGACGATGCAAAATATATGAGAGCCTCGATACTCCGTTAAAGTTAAACGCTCCTATTGTCGTCTCGAGGCCAGCAGCGCCCACGAATTTTAGCCCTAAGCGCGACGAGGTCGCGCCACATCCGGGGTCGGGAGACATTTCTCGGCCATTTACGGCGTCGACCTGAGCCGAGTGTGCGGCGACAGCCCCGATTTCAGCTCCCCGAGACGCGGAACACCCGCGATTCCCGCTCGCCCGCTTCTTCTCTCGTCGAGAGTATTTTCGTTTCTGGCACGTCGCTGAGGCCTACATCGCGACGTCATGGGCCTCGCTGGCTTGCATTCGCACACGTTACGTAACTTCACGCCCTTAGTCGCGTCCAACGATGTGCTTGGTTGGGCGATTTCGTCGATTGAGTCGTGTTTCTCGAGTGTTCCCAGGGACGGGTATTTCTGCGATAAAGCGATTGTCCACATGTGTTTTCCCATCGGCGTTCTCAATCCTTACTAATTGGCATTCCTCGATTTGGCATAATTCCCTGTTGAACAAGTGGATCAAACACGTATTGTTTTGTGTTTTGTTTCGCGTTTTATTTTTTTTTTCCGGTTCGCGAAGTCATTCCGAGAATGGCGGGCCAGTCGATGGCGCGCACGTGGTTGTCAAACGTATCGAGTGAAATTATGATATTGTTGCTGTACTACGTTCTTGAACTGGGCCATGGCGTACTAGAAAAACTGGTAATCTTTTTGTCGAAAAACGAATATTTTATTACGATATAAACTGTCCGGTATATTTTTATTATCGCGGATGAAAATAACTTTGCGTGATTTGCGAATACTTTCGTGATTCACGCGATTTCCTTTGGCATAATAATAGTTAAATGTTTAATAGGATTATTTAATTACTCAAATGTTATCTCGATAAAATGCAAATTTATTTTTTCGAATAAAATTCTCGGAAGTAATTAGGCCGCCGACAGACCGACGCTCACGTTTTCGTTACACCTGTCGATATCTCTCGCCTCAATACAAATATCATCTCGATCGCATCTCGATAGGCCGCCGTCGTTATTGTCGTCGGGAAATGTTAGGTCGAGCATTCGTACTCCGAATTTGCCGGAGGCTCGCTTTTGCCGGTCCACGAAAGGAAACGCACACTCTCGATCCACCGCAAATAAACGGTCAGCCGGCCGCGCTGTGCCGCGCCGGAGAGAAGACCGCGGCCGCGATTGCGTAAGTGCGCGGTGGGCACGCACCGGAATGCGTGCGTGCACATATTCGTGCGCGGTTCCTCGTCACGGGCTTTAAACGCGAAGACCGATTGCGTAACGACGGAGTGGAACGCGTAACACCAGTAACGCCGCACCGCACGTCGGGATTGATCAGCTGATCGGCGAGCAAACACAGCGAGAGAGGGAGAGAG